TTAATCGAAATCAAGGAATAATCATCTGTATACTCCCATTGGAAACTTGATGTCCGGTTTGTCCTATGGCTGCGTGCAGCCATGAGCCGGAGAATGGGAATCAGACCCAGGACCAATCTCGAACGTAAACGCTTAGCCACTTGACAACGAGTGTTAATGTTTAATTTCAGTCAATCCAGGATATTGCAACCATCGTCCAGAGGTTGAGCGTTTGTGCGCGAGACCGAAAGTTCTGGGTTTGGACCCAGCTCGCAAGTTCGTGTATGCGCAATGCTGATGAGCCACATACTAGGACGAAACGGCCGATCAGCACATTCAAGTCCCTAATGGTCCTAAATTGATTAGTTCACTATTCGAATGATTCTATTTAACTTGACCAATGAGTTGTGCAATACTTTTACGAAGATAACGCAGTTGGTGAAATGGAGACATTTATTATTGTACACGATTGTAACAATGACTTTTATTGTACTCCTTTTGTTCAACTGTACTGAAAACCATTACTAACGCGCAACTTTTTGTTTGCGTTGCTGTCATCTTCGATATAGCTGCTCTTTATTTAGCCCACTTTCTTGGTGTAACTTCGGTGTTTTGTCGACACCACGAAATCACCAGCAAATATATCCTTTACCCTGGAATTATTTTATTTAATATGATGGGATAGTAATTAGTATTTAGTGGTGATCATAGTCAATCTACACTCAGTCACCACTAGAAATGAATGCTTTTTAATATACGAATTTACACTACTGCGAAGCCTGTCCACACTAACAGTCATGTTGATAATTTATTATCCTCATAATGACACTCTCGAAGAGAACAAGCCCTTTATTTTTTAGAGGAAACTACTGAAATTATTTATTTTAGCACATGATATCTGGTATAGAAAGGTGAAAAATACAAAAATCAAAATATGAATAAAATTCCGAGATAAATGAAGTACATTTGAAGACCGGAAAGAAATGAACAACACAATTAAAATACCAGTATCCTGCACTAGCAACAAAGTAGTCGAAAGTACGATAAAGTTCAGTCAAGTATTATTTATTTTAAGTTCTTCCTAGTATTCTGAATGATTTTGAAAGTTCACAGTAGGGTTTTTACCACTTCATACTCTGAGCCATATCTGACTACGTCTGAATGCACTGAGTTCTACCACCTCAATAATTTCAACCAGGCAATCGTAGTAAGCAGACATTCCCAATCAAAGCTGCCATTAGGAAGCGAGCACTAGGTAAGGATGGCAAGTCAATTTATGAAGTAGTGAAACTTAATCAGTTGGGGCGGTTGGTACATGTGCTACGAATGCCTAACCACCTACTGCTGCGACGAGCTGTTTCGTGGTGGAGTAGGTTGGAAAAAAGTTAGGGGTGGCCAAACCAAAACATGGCACAAATCCAAGAAGTCATTGACAGGTGGACTGAGTCATGTTGGTAGATGTGGGCTGCCTGGTTGGGGTCAGCGAGACGAGATTCACCAATTGTTAGAGACCTTGAACGACATGACTCAAGATCATTTGCGATGGCGTAGGTGCATTCACTCTTTGTGTTCTCCCAAATCCTAATCTTCTGGATTCGCCAACACCTTTGCCTCTGTCTTTCTAAGCTTATCTCACTGAATTATACTTATTGAATAATATCTTCAAATCCTAATCTTCTTCATTACCAGTAATATTTCTACTATCTCTACTAATATGGGATTTGCATTGACAATTGCAACTCTGTGCTAATGTGGTATGGCAATATGAACTGATGTACTTACGTACGAAGTTCTACGTTGCAACTGACTGACCAAAGCTGTCCTCGATTTCATAAACTGACCACCTGAGCTTTCTCTATCTCGTCGTTATACAGTCTGAAAGCCTCAAGAAACGTGGTTCAGATTGAAACTAACTGTTCTGGCTTTCACTATTTATACATCAATTTAAAAACAAAAACTTGTACAAAAGAGCTTTTTGGCGAGCTAGTTTTCTACGGGGCGGAGAAGCCAACCCCTTTTCCTTTATTCGGGCTTGGGACAGGCAGCAGCCCAAGGCCTCTAGGTTGAATTTATATATATATATATATATACATATATATATATATATATATATATATATATATATATATATGGGACAAATAACTGAATTTGTGTTGGACGGTATGATGGCCGAATGCTAAAACCAAACTGAGTAACTTTCTTAGGGGCCAATCTTCGGACACTCAATTCAAAGGTCTGCTCCACAAGTCAGTGGAACAACGTTAGATGTAATCTCATAGGAGCCTGTTAGCAGAATTAGAATCGTAAGTTAGTTGTTCTCTAAGGATTGCAAGACCGTGTGCATCATTATTTCTTCAAGTCCACTTAATGGATCCTCCTACCCACAAAACCGGTTTGAGAGTGGGATTTTATCTTTCCCAATTTTGTTAACAGTCCGAGGCAATAAGTAGGACATTGATCTTAGTAGCTGCGTGAAATCATATCGAATGTGCTTTATCGACAACATATGACTGGTGGTAATACATATCCTAGATTGTATCTGGACTTTAATCTGCGATGTGGTAGTGGGTTCCAAAACGAGATCTTTTACCATGCCCACTTCCATGGCGTCTTCTAATCCAACAGTGCACAAGCGACACTAATAGGAACACAACTAATCGATGTGGTGCTTTCTCTGCCGTCAGTGCCACACCAAGCGGTAGAAAAATCAGATGCCAACCCAACAGTCCCCCAACAAGTGCACTTGAAGAAAGCTTTTCGGACACCAGGAGTTTGAAGTCCTTTGCGAGAGTATTCAATACGGACTTGAGAAATACATCATAGACCGACATTAAGATTTCCATAAAACGAAACAAAAACTATCAGTTATCATATCTTCAGTGTGTGAACACTGGAGGCTAGTTTATATGAGACATGTGATTTCGAAGTAGCATCAAGAAACGTATTTGGTGGAACTCGAAATTTCAGTCAGCTAAAGACTTGAGATCATAAGTAGTACAGAACTACCATTATAGACGAGCTAGGAGAATACAGGAAATGGTAATGATGAAGGGTATATATGGAGCTTGCAAGGCAGAACTTGGTACCTGAGTACAACATTTCAGGTTGCCATACCATAGTAGCGCGTAGGTGAAATTGTCAGGCTGAACCCCAGAGTTGTAGTATGAGTGATAATGAAAAGGACTAGGAACTGAAGATAAAATGTTAGATAAGAGATATGACCAAATAATTGTGAATATCGTTTGAAAGAATAAAGCTGACGCCATGCCGAGTTAACTGGTTTTCGTGGGCAGTTACTGTGCGATTTTGACCTGGAGGACCAATCAACAAGGCAGTGAAGAAACGTTAGGAGATACCATTCTAATGTCGCAACTGACCAAAAATAAAACTCATATTTCAGTAGTTCCTAGTGAACTAGGGATCTGCGTCATAATAAGGGCTCAGAACCAGGGTTATTCATTTTCTTGCGGTGAATCACCTTTATCCACCAACCCAGTCTAAAGACCAGAAGTCCGTACCTCATTTCTTCATTTCCTAGACATCACCGCCGCGAGAAAGTGAGTGGGGCCTCCTTGAGAAGGGCTATGTCAGAACTTTATGGCAAGAAGGACCTGGGCACTTGAGGGCTATTAACGAATGAGGAAGAATTGATATTTTGTCGTTATAATTAACTATACAGTTCTATAATTATAGAAAATCTGCTCAATGCTCAACTTATTTGAAATTATTAAGTCTTGCCTTGGTACTTATATTTAAAGACTTTGTTCTATACGTCTCTTTTTAATTAAACTGACCTGATCTGGAAAGGCAAGCATTATAAGGCGTCAGATAAGGGGCACAGTAATGATTACTGATACATCAAATACAAATACAATGCACAATAAGTTTGATATGCGTAATGAAATTATTACATTTAAGTGAGTAGTTCATCCGGACAAGGTTACAGAACATCTTGTCTCTCAAAATAAGTTGCAAATATTTTTGGGCGTACTGATAATACAGCTAGACAGATTTCGCAAGGGATAACACTAAAAAGTTACTGTTTTAAAGTGCAGATTTACATCTGCTACAGTTCATTCACTTTTAAACGTCGAACAATAGACTGCACCAAATACCAATGTAAAGATTAGGAGTTATAGACTACACTTGGTTAGTAACCTTACTGTCAACTGTTGGAAGTCAATTTCCTGAAGGTCTTGATGACCTTAATACAACCCACTAAACGTAAACTCAACGTCTATCCAAACTTTCAACAACTGTCAAAATGAAAATCTTATCTTTGTATGTGCTTATCTCAAGGAATATGATCTCTCGTTTTAGAACTATGGATTCCAGTTATTTTTATACTGAGAAAAACCGTAATATTGAAATTTTGACAGAACTGACTAGAAGACTGATATACAACAAAATAACACATTACATTAATTTATGGTTTTAAAAACGTAGCTAACGATACAAATGCATTATTGCGCTCGTTACCAAGACATTTTTCGAACATGTTATATATTTTTCAACACACGTAAACCGACCGAACAAGCTTCTAAGATATCAGGAGACTATGTCAGTTTGGAATGTGTCGATTCCCATAGCTAAAACGCTTTCATTAAAGCATAATACTTGGTATTAAGGTGATGCATTTACTCAAGAACCGATGGATTGGATTTATAATTTGATGAGTAACAGATTCAAGTCTATTTCTTGATAGTGTACGCTTAAACTGTTTAGTGCCGGTAACTTCACTTTTGTTAAAATCCTACTAATTGAATACTCACCGCGCTTGATGAGAGTCTAGTCATACCAGTATATACATAATAATCCAATAAATGAAGTTACTGGATGGAATAGGCCGATTTACGTCGTAGGGAGCACAGACCTATGATAAACCATTACTAATAACTTCAACGTAATTATACGTTACCGAGCTGATTGCGATACTAACACATGCGGTTACAACAGCCGTAGCACTTACGAAAATCTGAGACCCATAAATGGAGCGACGATGACTCCTGAATTGGTTTTTTTCAGTAAATGATGTAATGTTTAGCTGAAGACTAAAAAGCAGTAAGAAACAGAATGATAACAGCTGGGTTAGTAAATTGTTCATAAAAGAGCTCTACTATCACATTAGATTCCGTAACAGAAGGCAGGAGTACAGTGTGTAAGACCCGGATGACTTTTATTTAATTCACGAATATAATTATCTGGTTGGAATTTAGAAATGTACCGACAATCCAGGCTTAACGAGATGATGAATTTTCACCACTAATAGTTTATGTTCTCTAAAAAGCTTTTTCAAATCGTTCAACTGATGGATTTCTTTGTAGTTCGGGAAAACAAACTATGCGCTATCAAAGCAGCGCACTCTAGTCGTCTTAAGACCAACTGCAAATACTACATCCGACAACTCACTCGAAGAACCTTGAAAATGAGACTATGATAACCATGAAGTTAAGGAAGACGTGAAAATGTTAGATCTCGAGAGAAACGAATTCAGTCTCTGGAATAAAGTACCTAATCAAAAAAAACTTACAAAAGCAAATGGCACGTTACAACCAAATAGCAATGAAAAACTCATTAGCGAATAACTAAGCATTGTTAAACGAATCTGGACAAAAATAAGGTGAAGACTGGACAAGCATCCAGTGAGCATTTAGAAGAGAATTCTCTTCAAAGTTGAACACAATCGGATTGTAAAACATTGCGATCAAGAACTGGAATCAGTGTAGAAATATTTTCATCACGATGGCTGATGTACAGTGATAACGCAATTTGATAAGTTTGATTTATTCGAAACGTTCTTGGCTCATTCTTACACACCGACATACTTTTCGCTTGAACTCCGCAAAGTCCTCCCTAAATTCCTTCTGAATATGAAAAATCGTTAGCATACTTATTAAAGACCTACAGCTGCATCAACATTAGCAGGGCTGTCAGGATTAGGCTCGGCAAGCATAGAAATGACAGAAGTAATAATTGTTTCTACAGTATGCACCGGAAGCCATCGTTCCTCGGGTCTTTCGTAGCCCCACCGATCTTCTCCAGGCTCGTGAAGGATAGATATACAAACATCTCCGTCTCGGGCGATATTCGGGTGCCAGATATCAGTTAGGAACCGCATCTTCGGAGGGTGTTCGGGGTAATCATGTGGGAAGTCTAGTTCTGCATGAAAATAGCCACCCTCACTAAGGACGAGAGTAAGAAATAGTGTAGCTTACTAGAGAGTGTCTGGTGGCCCCATAATAAACACTCGCCACTTGAAAATATTGTCATCATCAACCAAGCCTGCTGAAAAACCTTCAGTTGCACTTTTACTCAGTTCTATAAATGATTGAGAGAAGCGTGACCATTAGAATTTAACAGAAAATGTACAGTTATATTTGTTTGCATCGGCAACTTACCACATAACTGTTTTTTAAGCAGGAGCGTAGACGCTGGACTACACATGTTAGTGTTATGCAGTCCCAGATGTTAAACACCGCGGACTGAAAAATTAATAAATAGTGGGACCAAACAAATTGTTTAGTGAGGTAATGAGCTTTAACAATAAGAATTTTCGGACAAAAACAACCTTTTTTTAACCATAAAAGCTCGAACTGTATAAATCTCATTCTAAGTGGAGCTCTATAAGACAATGTGCTATCTGAAGTTTGTAATGTTCATTGACTTCAGATATTTGTTCTAGGAACAGAAGGATCAACACCAACCACAACAACCCCCTTAGATACCCACGAAACGAAGAAAACCATCGCCATTTCCTTTGAGACATCCCAAAGTACCATAGCTGTCGCTCGCATTGGCGAATTTCATAACCTATTTATGATATCGTCAAAAGTGTTAGCGTAACTGTTAAACGTACACCTCCGTGTTCCAATATAAATGGATAAAAGTGTCTTAACACTGAAAGTTTTAGATGAGTTATAAAATAGAATAAGATTGCTAGCGAAATTGTACATCATAATTATTTCCTTATGGTTTCTTCTTACTGAAAGTGTTGTTAATTCATAGCAGTCAGGAGGGTTACTTACTTACTTAAGTAAGTAAGTAAGTCAGTATTTTTTACACTCGAATCGAGGATGAGCAAATATTTTTGAACAAAGAAACATGGTGGGTTAGTTCTTTAGTAAAAATTGAAAATAACTTTGTTTCAGGCGTGAGGCTTACTTAAGTTCTAGGAAGAAATAAGTAATATGAATCATGCAGAATCTTAGTAGATAGAAGCATCTGTAACTTCAAATCGTATGGTACTCAGATTCTTTTTGATACATGCAAGTTTGGCACAAGTCTCAACGGAAATCCCGATGAGAATTTCTCCAGACTTTTACTTACTAACTTACGCCTGTCACCCCTAATGAAGCATAGGCCACCGACCATTATTCTCCAGCCTAATCTGTCCCGGGCTTTCCTTCTCATTTCAGTCCAAATCTTGCTCATTCCTCTCGATGTGATATGCTCCTTGGTCTTCCTCTTTTCCTTTGGCTTTGAGGGTTCCAAAAGAGTTCTTGTCTTGTGACGCAGTCCGGTGCTATCAGTAATGTGTGTCCTATCCACTTCCAGCTCTCCTATCTGATTTCCTCTTTTTTGTTCTCTCTCACGGTAGGTTGTTGCTGGTGGTGTCTGGCTAATGGATGAGAAGAACTGTGCTCAGACAATCGTTGATAAACACTTGTACCTTGTGGATGATGGCTTTTCTAGTTCTCCAAGTTTCCACCCTATACAGTAGAACTGTATAACCTTTGTCTCGAAAATTCTGATTTTGGTGTTGGTTGATTTGTAGTGTGTCGATTTACTGCGTGTTCTAAAGCTCGGTAATTAGCTCGTCTAGACAGTCGATACGTTTATTCGGGACACAATAAAAAGCGAAGCGAAGAAGCAATATGAATAAAACGATGTGGAAAGCCAACTCTTCGGATTACAATGAGAACTAATGCGTGAAGAAAGCGATGTGGAGAATGGCTAACGAGCCAACTCTCTGAAACAAAGCATGACTATGAATTTAGTCACACAAAAATTAGACAGACATGTGATCAGCG